GGGGCGGCCGCGGGGCTGTTAACTCCAGTTTTATCGACTTCGTGCATTTGTATCGACTTGTACAGTTATTTTTGTTCTATAGCGGTAACGGGTCTATGAGCAAAAGCTGTTTGGTGTTTATACATATTTGAGGAACACGACAATAAAAGATAAATTAGGTCAACCCTGAGGGGCTGTGAGGACTGTGGTTGTTTTTCTCAGAAGGATTCTGGCTATTCATTTTCCTAAGAAACAGTAAATGAACATTTTTTCCCCCAATTTTTTTTTTTTTCCCAACATTTTTCCCCCAATAGGCGACCAATCCCGAGGCGAACGGGATATGGCTTTCCCGGCCCCGAACCGGAGCCGATCGCGGGGGTGGCGGGGAACTTGCCGTCGCGGATCGCCTTCTGTCCGCTATAGCCCACGCTGTGACGACTTCAGGCCACACCGAGGATTTTTACCCGCAGTTCGTCTTGTTGTCTGCGCTCCAGAGGGTGGGCGGCCGGAGGCGGTTCCTGACATCCGGTCCCCGCAGTTTCTGCCCTCGGACACGCTGTCTGCAGAGCGGCTGAGGCAGACACCGCGCGCCCGAGGACGGCCAGGACCCAGTGAAACCGTGAACGAGGCGACCGTTAGCCCCTGGGGTATTGGGAAGCCTCTGTTCACTAAGGACGACGGTGATGGCGGGCCAGGCCTGACGGTCTCCGTGTCCCGCCACCACCAGCGGCCCCGGTGGCCCCCGTCTGGCTGAGTTCTTCAGCTTGGCTCTCGGTGCTCGGGCAGCGCAGGGAGCCCACGGCGAGAGGCGGCCGGTGAAATCCAGCGGGGCACGTCCTGCAGGAGCTGTCGGCTGCGGCCTCTTGGGGGCGAGAACCCCGACATCTCTGAAGACACCAAGATCCCCATTTTCGCTGCAGGAGCAGACCCCGTCGCAGGACGGCCAGGCTCTGGGGCCGGGGTGCTGCATCCTCATTCTGTATTGTGTATATCTTCTCGCATGTGCCGCATCTGTGTTCCCCAACACAAGCCTCAAAGGGTCAGGACTAGCATCCTGGCCGGGCACGTGCTCCGCGAAGCTTAGCTCCTTCTTGCTTCCCTCCCTCTCTTCCTCTTAAAACACAAATCAGAGGAGAAGCGTCCGGAGCTGCTTGTCAGACTGAACAGAAACGGGCGTCTGGAGTTTGGGGCCCCTCGGATCGCTAGGCCCAGGTTTCGGGAACTTCCCGATTAAGTGAGAAAGAGAGCACACGAGCAGGGGTGAGGGACAGAGGGAGAAGCAGGCTCCCCGCTGAGCAGGAAGCCCGACGTGGGACTCGATCCTGGGACTCCTGGGATCGTGACCTGAGCCGAAAGCAGATGCTTGACCAGCTGAGCCCCCCCGGGCGCCCGGTTGCCTCTTATCAGCAGCGTCTACAGCAGCCGAGGTGCGGAAGCGGCCAAGCGTTGGTCCGCGCGGGAAAGGATGAAGACGAGGCGGCCGACACACACGGTGGGTGGTTACTGAGCCGTCAAGATGAAAACTCGTCGTTTGCGACCACAAGGCTGGAGCGAGGGAGTATAATCCTGAGCGAAATAAGTCAGAGAAAGACAACTGCCCTGTGCGATTTCACTCTTACGTGGGATTCAAGAAACAAGTGAGCAAAGGGGAAACAGGGGGAGAGAGAGAGAGAGAAGGAGAGAGGGAGAGGGGGAGAGGGAGCAACCAAGAAACAGACTCGGGGCGCCTGGGTGGCTCAGTAGGTTAAGCCTCTGCATTCGGCTCAGGTCATGATCCCAGGGTCCTGGGATCAAACCCCGCATCGGGCTCTCTGCTCAGCAGGGAGCCTGCTTCCTCCTCTCTCTCTGCCTGCCTCGCTGCCTACGTGTGATCTCTGTCTGTCAAATAAATAAATAAAATCTTAAAAAAAAAAAAAAGAAACAGACTCTTAAGTCTAGAGAACAAAGCGATGGCTCGGAGGGGAGGTGGGGGGCGGGGGAGCAGCTGACGGGGGCTAAGGGGCAGCCTGGCCACGCTGAGCCCTGGGTGGTCACGGAAGTGCTGAACCGCTACATTGTACACGTGACACGAACATGACACTATTTGTTGACCACACGGGAATTCAACTAAAAACTTAATAAAACACAAGCAAAAACAAGAGGAGCTGCTGGCAAGGAGCAGGGACTGGGGACCCGAGGCCAGTTTCCTGCTGGCCCTGGGTTCCCGGCCTCCCGCACAGGCTCCAGGCCCCTCCCAAGCCCGTCCCCGGAGGGCCGTCACGGGGCTGGGGGCCAGGCAGCAGGGCTGTCGCTCAGCCCTTCTCAGAGCGGCCGTCCCAAGCCAACTGGAAGGAGAGAACAGCGTGCAAACGGGGCAACTCGTGGGGCAGCCGTAGGAGAGCCCCTCGGTCGGCCGGGGCCCAGCTCCCGCCCTCTGGGAGACGGGAGGACGGTGTGAGAAGGGCAGGAAGATAGAGCAGACGGACAGAAACGGCTTCGGGAAACCAAGCAGAAGGGCTCGGAGGGGGTTAAGACTGTGCTTTCCCAGTTTTCCTCTTTCCCCTTCCCTGGCCCCCGGAATGAGCACAGAGACGGGTTCGAGGAAGAGCGCACAGAATCAGAGACGTCGGTGGCGAGGCCTGGACATGTGTCGGGCACCTCCTGTGAGGTTTTCGTCCATATAGATAGGGAGGGGGATCGAGAGAAAAGAAGAAACAGTCACCGGACAGGGGGGTGGGGGCGCAGGTGAGGGACTGAGGGGACAACGGGGCGTGGACCAGAGGCTGTCCCAGCTCGGACCCCTCTGAAGAGTCTCCAGCCCCCAGCAAGGGCAGGGAGTGAGATCCCCAGCTACAGATGGTACCAACTCCCACCGTCTGCTGAAGGAGCATGAGGCGTCCCTGGAGCCCAACGCCTGGAGCCCGCTGCCACTATGAGGACACGTGGCCCCTTCCTGCAGAAGGAAGCAAGCCGCCCGGGCCCATGGAATGCCCCAGCGGGATCTGCGGTCAACACCTCAGCTTCCGGCGAAACAGGCTGCGGCCTTCTTCCTGTCTTCCCTTCGAGACCCACAGGGCGGGAGAACGGAGCAGTCAGGGCCGGACTCCACCGCACGGCGTGGTATTGTGATGTTCCCTCAGCGTCTCCCTGGACCCTGCTGGGAACCTGCTGGCCTTGGCGCTTTTCACATCACGGTGACCCCGAGACGCCGTTATTAAAGTCTGAGGAGCTCCTTATTACCGAACGGCTGCACTTTCTATCACAGGCTCATGGACCCCGGTTCTCACAGAACCCCGAAGAAAACTGGCATGCGTGTCCGTGTGGCCCCAACGAGATGGACCTTCTCGGCCTCCTCACAGGGACGAGGTGCTGTCCTAGCTAAAGGGACCCCTGACCATACCCATTTCCTTGACGGAGCTCCGGCACCTTTCAGGACCCACATCTCCATGAGAACAGGGGGCAGGTGCTTCCGCCAGAGGCACCGTGGTTTTGAGAGGTGTCTGGGGGATGCACGGCATCAGGAGCAGGTCGATCAGGGCGACACAGATGGGTCACCACAACCCTCCTCCTCTTTTCAGCTTCTGGCACCAGCCTGATTCCCCCACGCTGGGCGCCCCCAGGGCGTCAGTAAGTGAACGCTGAATGCTAACTTCTGTCCCGCTTTGGGGGGACGCTGAGTTCAAGTGGAGGCTGGCTTTGTGTCTGCCTCTGCTCCGAGGGCCGTTGCTTACAGTAAGACCAAACCCTCAAACCAAAGGAGCCCTCCGCCATGTTCCAGGAGCTCCCCCCGAGCCCCGGGTTCTGGAAGGACCAAGAAGCAAACAAGGCTGCTCTGGGAAGTGCTCACATGTGTTTATTTCACAAGGGAGGAACGGGGCAGGGCGCGATCACCAAGAAGATGCCACCAAAGGAGACACATTGAACTCCAACTGGGCGACTACAGGATTTGGTTCTGGGCAGGGCTTGGCCTCTGGGGACAGGATGAGGGACAGAGGGGGAACTGGCAAAAGGGACAGCCTTCCATCTGGGGGTCCACATGGGGCAAGGCTGGGGGGTGTCCTCCTGGCCAGAAAGGCGTGGCCAACCCCCGCCCCCACCCAGCTTCCAGCAGCCTCGTCCTGATCCAGGCGAGCCACGAAGCGACAAGCCCACGGCCAGGCACGGACACCCGCTCTGCACACACTCCAGGCACACGCCCACGCCGTCACGCACCGCACAGGCACACATGCTCATAGGCATGCACACGCGTCCATATATTACCTCTGATTTGTAAGTGCACCCTAACCAGAGGGCAATCGCAAAAATTATTACTCTTCAGGGAGGAATCGATTGCCTTCTCCGCCCCCAGCCAGCAGAGCATGGGGTGACATGAGATGGACGTGGCGCACCCCCGGGGTCCTGAGCCCGCCCCCTGCCCCTCACCCCTCGCTGTGCTGGCTTCAGTCCTTAAGCTCCAGGTGAGTCAGGGATCCCTGGTCCCCGGGAGGGCAGAGCTGCCCCTGGCCCGGCGCCAGCCCCGGGGGCCCCCTCCCAGCCACAACCTCCCTCCGTGCTCAGCCTCTCCGTGTGTCGCTGGCTCCCTGCAGACATAGCAGAGCCGCTGGCCCAGGGACACGGGAGCCTAGGGCCCCGCTGGGTGACCGTGGGACCATTCATTCCTCCCAGGCCATCTTCGGCGGGTCCAGGAAAGTCCAGGGCTGTCTGCCTGGTGGAAAGGTTGGGGTGGAGGCTGCCTCATAAGTGGGCATCCGGGCAGAAGCGACGTTGAGGGACATGGAGTGTTGGGACCCCGGGGCTCCCTCCGAGGAGGGGAAGACAGGAGGCAGCTGAGCATGGGCCCCCGCTCTGCTGAGGGCTGGGGGTGGCGTTCAGAAGCTGCTGCAGGAGAGGGATGAGAAGGAGGAGGGGCCCCACCAGTCCCAGTCCAGAGGGCGGCTGGGAAGCGGATGCGGAGGACGTGGGGGTTTCACGCCATGGTACGTGGGCCACATCCGGGCAGCAGAAAACGCGGCTCCTGGGTTCCCAGAGGAGGGGTCGGGGATATTCCAGGGAGCGCGGGCCCCACGGCAGCTGAGTGCCGAAGGGGGGACACCACGTCTCCCTCTGGGACCCCCGTGCTGCCCTGGAGAAACCCCGGGAGGCCCGCTGAGCACCTGCCGGCTTCCTGCTGTCTCTCCACCCGCACGGCCGGTCCAGAAGACGGGCAGACCCCCTCCCGGGGGCCGGGCTCTGGGGGCCCCTGCCAGTCCTCGCTACTTGATCGAGTTCTTAATTGTCCACCTCTGTCCCGTGCAGCTGCGGAGGATGAGGTCAATGCCAGCCAGGCCTCGGTTCTCCACCTCTAGACAACGCCCTGTGCCCTTATTCATGATGGCTCCATTCTGGGTGAAAGGAGGAGAGACAGAGACAAGGAGAGACAGAGACAGACGGAGATGGAGATACAGAGAATAAGACAAAGACAGAGAGACAGAAACAGAGAGAGACAGAAAGACAGAGAGAGAGAGAGACGTGGACGGAGAGAAAGACAGAGAAAGAGGTTTAACCACTATAGTGCCCGGCACAGGGCCTCTCACAGGGAGCCGTCCCACCAGAACTCTTTGCACAGGGAAAGGGATCATTGGAGCCTCCTCCAGAAACCCTAAAGTCAGAAAAGGTGTCCGCTTCACCAAGTCTGAATGGCTGAACCTGGTGTCAAGCCCCGATGGGGGATGGCGTCTGAGAGTGGGATTTCCGGGGAGACCCGAGCTCTGACTTTCCCCACCCTACTGACTACTTAGCAGATTTCGGAAAACTCACCGCACACTCCCCTCCCCGAGATCTGTCGGCTCCCAGCCTGCCTGGTGCTGCCGCAGGGTGTCCCACACGCAATCCCCCTCCTCCGCGGACTGCCCCAGACGTGCCCTGGGTTCATGAGGCTGGCCCTGGGCTGGGGACCTTGGGGAAGTCGCCCTCTATGGCCCGCAGCAGCCCCTGGGTACTCTGGGGTGCCGGCCTTTCCCGGGACGCTCACCTGAATGAAATTCCAGCGCTTGTACAGGCTGCTCTTGACTTTGTCACAGTCGAGGAGCTGGGGCAGCCGACTCTTGGAGTTGTCCACCAGGCAGCGGGTGTCAGGGAGAAGTGTGGTGGTCCCCAGGGCACCCAAGTGCAGGAAGCCCTCCTTGGTGTAGCGGGCAAGCTGGGGAGAGAGCGGAGGAGAGGGCAGGGGGCGGTGAGTCAGGTCTGCAGGTCTCACCCGCCACAGCCGCGGTCCTGGCTGCCATGGACCCAGTTCACAGATGAGCCCTGCTCAGGGGGCCTCCTGGCTTGCTCAGTCTGGGTGCCGCATCCCCAGGCCCAGGCAGGTTTCTTTCTAAGCATGTTCTCTGTCAGTGTTTCTGGACTGTGGGCTTCTGTCCATCAACATGAGGGAGCAGGAATAAATAAAAGAGCAGGACTTCGGATTTCTAAGCTCAGCTCTGCTCCCCGAGGGAGCCACCCGGAGTAAGTCCCTTAACCTCTCCGAGTCTGCATTTCCACCTGTTTGTAAATTGGGATTAATTAATCAATCCCGCCCTGCTGTAAACTCCCAAAGAGGCGGGTCGCTGAAAAAGAAACAGACATATTAAAAGGCATTGCACCTAACAGGCGTTAAAATAAATACACCAAAATGGCAAGGTGATACCACATTGGGAAAAAAAAAATTCTCATTCTGTCAAGGTTGGCATAAAATGGGCGGCAGTGGGGTAAATTATGACAGTCTTTCCAAAAGGGGATTTCAAAATAGATACTTTGTGTGCTTTAAATTTTTTTTTCTCTTTTGACCCCAAAAATCCACTTTTAGAAATCTATCCCAAGGTAAAAACCCAAACCGGGAACACAAGCTGACAGACGTAGGATATTTGCGGCAACATCATTTAGAATGGCAGAAAAGCGGAAGGTTCCTACGTGTGCCACACAACGCGGGTGTTTGATTCTGCTCCATGCACCCCGACAGATGCTGGGGGATTGTGGGAGATCGCAAAAACAGCCACACCCAGGGCACGGAGCTGGCCCAGTCGGTCAAGCGTCCGACTCTTGGTTTTGGCTCAGGTCATGATGTCAGGGTCGCAGGCTCGAGCCCCATGGCAGGCTCCACACTTAGATGGCATCTGTTTGAAATTCTCTATCTCCTTTTCCCTCTGCCCCTCCCCCCACTTCTGCCTGCTACTCCCACCCCACTCAAATAAATAAATATTTTTTTTTTAAAAAGAGGCCACACCCTTCCCTCTTCCTTCCACACACCCTGGGCAGTACGACTTTTGAAGCCATGTCCTTCAAGAGGTGAAGCTGGTTTCTCCATCCCGTGAGTGCTGGTGACTTACTTAGACCAACACAATACAGCAGAAGCGAGGATGGACTAGCCTTTAGCCTGGCGTCCTTCTCCTCTCTTGCTCTGGGAGTCCTGCTGGCCCCGTGGCAGTAAGCTCTGGATGGCCCAGCCAAGAGCCAACCATCAGACAAGTGGACGAGGTCGTCCGAGAGTAGGCAGCCCTCAGAAGACCGGCCAGGTGCCAGGAGGTGTAGGGATGAGTCAGCTGAAATCAGCCGAGCTGGGTCCGGATCACAGAACCATCCAGCGCATCTGGACAATGCACAGTGAATGCACATTGCTTTATGCCAGTAGGTTTTGGGGGGCTAGTTGTCACGCAGCAAGAGCTAACTGATACGGAGATGGTGCTGCCTCCTAACCCTTCCTACAGCGGGACCCATGCTACTCTAGTGGCCTCTCTCCTGCCTGTCGGTGTTGTCTAAAATTCTGTCTTCCAGCCTTGGAGCAAGTACATTCATCCGTCTTCCACACTCTTTTAGGGGTAGGGACTGTGTCTAATTAATTTCATTCCTCGCTCGGAGAAAATCACAGACCAAGTGCTCAAAACATGTTTGCGGACGAGCACGTTATAAATGTGGGGAATGACATCGTTTAAAAGACGCGACGATGTCTGTTTATTTAAGCTCCACAAACATGTTTTGAAGAGTTCTCTGTGCGACCTGCCTGGGAACCAGTTTCTGAGAACACGAGGACGGGGCTGTGTTCCCACTGATAACTCCAGTGCAGGCTGGTGAAGGCAAGGAGAAAGGAAGGTACATCTCTCGTTTTTGTTCTTACATGCTGCGAGGTAGCAGGGTAAGAAGATTATTAATAACAGCTGGTGCTGAATAAATTAAAAAATAAAATTACCAGCTTGCATGTATTTTTTTAAAAGCTTTTATTTATTTATTTGCCAGAGAAAGAGAGATCACAAGTAGGCAGAGAGGCAGGCGGGGGGTGGGGCAGGCTCTCTGCTAAGCAGAGAGCCCGATGCAGGGCTCGATCCCAGGACCCTGAAATCATGACCTGAGCTGAAGGCAGAGGCTTAACCCACTGGGCCCCCCAGGCACCCCACCAGCTTGCATGGATTAAAGACACACTCGGCATTATTTCTAAGCATCATAAAGAGAATAAAGAATGTAATTTTTACAACAACTCTCTGAGATAAGTTTCCATTACTCTCCTGTTTTAAAGATGAAGAAACTGAGGTTTGAGGACATCTGGTCCCCTGGCTGGGTCCTGGCCTCCCTCCTTGGGACCCGAGGGACCCTGGCCCAGCAGCTGACCAGCCGACGGGCCTCTTCCTACACGATCCCGGGCTTCTCCTGAGAGCCTGGGCATTTCTGGCCAGGAATGGAGCCAGAAGGAAGCTCTGGTCCAGGAGTGCCTCTTCTCCAGGGCCCGAGTTTTCTGCGGAGGTTCTCACTGCTGATGAAAACCACTCAGAAATCCTCTGCTTTGATCCCCGAAGGGGGGCCCACCTGCTCCCTGCTGAAACAAGGGACAGGGAGTTTAAGTGCCCTTGAGACAGATGCGGTTAACATGCTTTTTAAACCCAAATTAGTTCCAAATCAGAGGGATTGTCAGAGGCGACATGATAAGAAAATCTGAAGCCCTCCTCACCCTCCCTAAACAATGTGTCTCTGAATATACTCAGATTCACCAGGCGCAAAGCGGTGAAAGGCGGCGAGCCGCCTTTATGTGGGGCGAAAGACAGACACAGCTGCTTACTGAAATTATGAATCAATCAATTATCCAGCAGGCAAATGAACAGTGCTAAGAACATTAATTAACTGAGCATATCTGTGCCCCAGATGTTTAAAGAGCGACGCTAAATGCCACTGGGAGTTAGGGGCCCTCCTTTCTGAGGTCTGTGAGTGAAGGATGAGACCCCAGCCACTAGGACCAGCAAAGCCAAGCTGTGCGCGTGTCTGGGTGTGGGGGAGGGCGGGGAGGCCCTACAGGCCTTCCGTTCTGGGGGAAGGCGCTTTCTCAAGCCAAAAACACATGCACAGGTCCTGCTGGCCTGGCCAAGGGGGCAAGGTCAGGGAAAGGGCGCTGTGGTCTGAAAGGATGGTGGGGCTCAGGTTACACCGACAGATATCACACTGCCTCTCCCCCATGAGGCAGGAGGGTGGTGCGAATTCGGATCTCGTGCCAACCCCGTCCCCGTTCTTGTGCCCGTCCTGGATCGCGAGTCTCCGTATTGTCTTTGGACCGCTGTCTGGTCCCCCTCCCCAGCTCCCCGTCCCCGGTATCCCTTCCGTAAGGGTCTCTGCTCCCTGGCCTCTGAATGTGCAACAGGCTTTCCTGCCTTCAAGGCTTTGCTCCAGCTGACTCCTTACTGGCCTTCTTCTAGAAGGTTCGAGCTTCAGCTTTCCCAGACTCCGTGCAGTTCTCTCCATCCCACGGTGTCTTCTCTAACTCTTCCTTCCCCCACCTCCGCACCGTCCCTCAAGCCCTCGGTGTCAATGATCCCTGTGTTTCAGTGTCTCACTCCCAGGGGGTGTAGGAGTGCCTCACTTCCTCTAGACCGTTCTGGGAACCCACTAAGTGATGGCTATTTGGTTTTTTTCCACTTTGGGGCTATTACGAAATATGCCGCTATGATCATTCATGCATAAGTTTCTGTGGGACCTGTGCTTTCAGTTCTCTTAGCGCTGTATCGAGAAGTAGAACTGCTGGTTGGTTGTTGGGCCACATGGTGAATGTGTGCTTAACTTTCGGAGGAGTTGCCAAACTCTCCAAACAGCTGCACCGTCTGCAGGTGCCCCCGCCACGGGCCAGCGTTCCAACTCAGCCACAGCCCTACAAACTCTTGCTCTTGTGGTTTTCTCTTCTTTCTTTCTTTTTAGGAACATGCGGGCCATTGACTGGGTGTGAAGTGGTATCTCATTGTGGTTTTGATTTGCGTTTCCTTAATAACTAGTGATGTTGAGCATCTCTTTATGTGCTTGTTGGCTACTTGTGGATCTTTGGAGAAATGTCCATTCAGGTCTTTTGCCCACTCTTCAATTGGGCAAATTGTCTTTTTACTGCTGAGTTGTAAGAGTTCTTTACATATTTTGGATGCGAGACCTTTTTCTGGTATATTTTGAGTGGAGATATTTTCTCCCATTCTGTGGGTTGTTCTTTCACTTTCTTTTGTTTGTTTTTGTTTTTTCACTTTCTTGAGAGTATGCTTTGAAGTACAAAAGTTTTTAATTTTGATGAAGTTCAACTTATTGATTTTTTTCTTTGATTACCAATGCTTTTGATGTCATTATCTAAGAAACCACTGCCAAATCCAAGGTCATAAAGATTTACCCTTATGTCTCCTAAGAATTTTAGAGTTTGAGCTCTTACATTTGCATCTTTGATCCACTTTGAGTTGACTTTCATATGTGATGTATGGTGTACATACAAGTTCTTTCTTTTTCATGTGGTTATTTGTTGTCCCAAGATTGTTTGTTGAAAAAACTTTTTCCCTATCTAATTGACTTCTCATCCTTGTTAAAAATTAATTGCTTATAAAAAAATTAATTGACTATAAATGTGGTATTTATTTCTGGAATCTGAATTCTATTCCACTGACCCATGTACCTACCCCTCTGAGAGCACTACAATGTCTTGATTAGTACAGCTTTGTAGTAGGTCTAAGAACTGAAGCGTGAGTCTTCTAACTCTGTTCTTTTTCAGTGTCATTCTGGCTACTCTGGTCCCTGCATTTTCATATGAATTTTAGGATTATCTTTTCCATTTCTGCAAAAAAAGGCAGTTGGAATTTTGATAGGTACTGCACTGCATCTGCAGATCAACCCAGGCAGGACTTCCACAAAAGCAGTAAGTCTTCTGATCAAGGAACATCG